TGGGGCATCATCACTAGAATGCTTTAAACAACTCCTGCAATTAAATGTGCAAAGATTGAGTGTAACAAGTCGTTCGGCGTGATATAGCTAGCTGCCGCCGCGCCGCGTGCCTGCGAAGCTTGTGTGTTACGACGAATGGCGGTTATACTGGCTCTACAGATACAGACAAAAAAATTATATATATATGATGATTGTCCAAAAAGAAATCATGCTTGAATGAGTTTTCTTAACTCTTTAATCAAATATTAATTGCGGTTTAGTACAAATAGTTCGTCAATAATGAATTACATGCAGTGAACCTTGATCATTTCATTACAGCCTTTAAGTCCTTTGGGATCCTCCCTTCACTGAGTCTATTAGTTTCCTTTCCCTCTTACCTTATCTCCAAGAATACTGAAGATAAGCAGTTCATCAGTGTACAATGCTTCATTTGGAAGGCAATACCAGAACTCTCAAAGGACACTGGCATCCTGCGTGTACAGGAAAGTAGGCAGATATTAAGATTAACGGTCACGATTTCACATTAGAGCTTTGTCTTATGTGATATTTCAAATTCGATGACTGACAACATGAATGAGACGGACTTTCCTAGCCTCCATAGCAGGTCAAAAACTGGGGGTTTTTTTTGGGGGGGGGGGTCTTCAGGGTCTTTGGGAGCTTTTATGTGCTATTTTCTGATTGCATATAGACAGCATAGCCGGCCTGGTTGAATTACCCCCGTTTTTAGAACTGGGCTAATCAGAAAACAGCCGAAGACCACCAAACCCCCAGTTCTATAAGCCTGCTAGGGACTCGCCGGGCTAGAACTTTCTATGATCTATGAAACGGTGTCCAATTTGGGGTGTTCTACTGACCTCTTATAAAAGATGCATCTTTTGCTCTACTTCCTTCAGAGATGACGAATAGTTTAGCCCGGTCATCAGTCACAACTGTCTGTTTCTTTGTTAGAGATTACACTGTGGATTTAGTGTACTTACATCTACACAAAACCGCTTGTGCGTGTAGAATTTGCACTGTGCTAACACAACTGGGAAATATTGACTCAATACATAATTCAACACTATTTCTTCCAAGAATTCTGAAGATTCTGTATCTGTATCGATATAGACGTCCTTCGGCGTAACACACCAGCTTCACAGGCACGCGGCGCGGCGGCAGCTAGCTATATCACACCGAACGACTTGTTACACCCAATCTTTGCACATTTGATTGCAGGAGTTGTTTAAAGCTTTCTAGTGATGATGCCCCAACTGTGCTTGGTGGCAACGAGTTCCAGTCTACGATAGTTCTGGGAAAATACAAGTTTTTGAACACCTCGATTCTTGGTTGATAACTCTGATATTTGAAGGTATGACTGTTTCTCGTTCTTTTCTAGGCTGGTATCAAATACTTAGTGGTTGGTACGTCCACCAGTTTATTAGTCATTTTGTACATCATGCACAGTCTGGACATTGGGATTGTAGATTATATGACATATGAACCTGCTGAATTCTTTAAGCATCTATGATGATAGCTGCATACCCAAGTGGGTAGACAATTAGGGAGGAAGCTTATGCCATGTCCCCAAGGGGAAATGTCAATGGTCTATTTAAGAAACTGCACATTCCTCCATCGGTCGTGTAGAGTTACAAGTTGCGATGTCCTACAAGCAGCTGTATTTTGCGTCTACCGTTAAGGGGATATCGTCTTTCCGGTTGGATGTGTCATCGTGATAGTTTGTTAGATACGAGAATTTGCTCTATAATCCTCAATGAAGGTTTTATCAAAAACATTTCCGGAGGGAAGGAGATGAAATGCTTTTTCGATTTACAAAGAGCTCGATCTACTTTATGACAAGTTATTTATTGAACGATGTGTAAGTTTAAATATACCGGACGTTATAACGGCTGTTTTTATAGTACTGTTGAAATCGTATTTCATTTGTATATATAAAACAAAATGCCATAACAAAATGCAACCATACTTATCGCACATGTGTACATGGATGTACACCTATGCTGAGTAGACGAACACAGTCAGCTGTAAGACAACTGCAGAACTGGGATCCTCATATGCTGAAAGTTCCACAGGAAAACATAACATCGTTCAAAGGGTCTCTGCAGTACCAAGGCCCGGTCCTGTGGAACCAACTTTTCAGGGAGCAAGGACAGCTCTCAACTTTAACATCTTTTAAAGACTCTGGACTTGAGTGGCAAACGTTTTTACGATTGTTATGTATATTGAGTTGAAATTGCAATGTATATTCTTATTGTGTGTTTTCCCATGTATATTGTGTATTTTATTATGTAACCCCAGGGATACCTGAAAACCAGGTCAGTAGACCTGAGCGTACTACTCTGGTTAAATAAAATAAATGAAAATGAAAATAAATTCTTGCTCAGTACCCGGAGAAGGAAGAATAGACGTTCGGAACATTCTCATTAAGGTCAGTAAAAGGTACACTCAATTAGCTCCTGCTAATCACAGCTCATTACATCACTCCAAGGTGTTCTTTTTACGATCTACCAGATCTTTAGCTGTGTTTCAACGATGTTTCCGTCCGGTTTAATGGTCCATAAAAACAGCCTTGGCTGGAGTAACGTCTTTAGCATTGCTAATTGCCACAGAGATACCAGCCCTCTAATCCCCTGCCCCTAGAGAATACACTTAAGTCCTCTCTGGTTGTAAATGATAACATACTTTCCCAGTTCCTGGATTAACATACTCGACAAACGACGCTCATGGAATGCTAAGCTCCTTTTGTACGTTCCCCTGGAAGCCAAACTCGTTTTCCGGGCCGCAAGAGCCCTTCGCCCGCTGGTGTAAATTACCGCTACGGGGGAGCCTAGCCCGGGGGGAGTTTGGCTGGCCCTCCAAACGGACAAACCCCTCGGGCTCAACTCCCCCCATAGCGGTAATTTAGATAGGCTCTTGGTTGCCGAAGGAAAACGGCTAACGGCCCGAAACTAGTTTGGCACCCAGGGTATTTGTACGTACGTACGTTTGGTTTAAGAAGATCTTATAAGTGTATAGTTGTGTCATGGACTCGCTGTCCCATCACAAAGAGACAAAACTTCATGCATCAAAAAAGCCACCAATATTGCTCACTGTAACATCATGCTTTTTCATAGTTTTCAAGAAAATATTTTTTCAATTGCTTCATTGTACATCATAATGCCTCTGGTTGTCTCTAGCGTCAGGTTGTCTGAGATCTAGAGTTTCGCTTTCAAGTACCCGATGTCAGTTAACTGCTAAAGCAAAACTATATCTATCTTGTATCTACGTTAACAGCATTACCAGTGCATTAACCTAGATTCTTTCTCCGTTCATATTGTAAATCTACATACTGTTAAGTGAAGAGTGTTTAAGATACGATCTAATCAGTTGCAAAAGTTCAGTTCTTAAAATTATGATACGATCTAATAGTTTTCAAGCTGGTGCCAGGAGGTCGCAAGGCAGTGCCATGTCAATGCATGTAATGGACATTCTCTGGGAGGTTTGGTATGGTCGATGTTTCTGGCTATCGAGGTGTATCTTTCACAGTTTATCAGGCTCCATCACATGCTCTCTGAAGACCGTCTATCGCAGCCTCTAGCAAAAGGGGAGTTTACAAGTACGCAAGCTTATGCTAAAATGCTAGATATCCTAGTTCATCCACACTGCTTTGCTTGAAATTGTGTCTGAGCCCAGTATTCTATGATCAGATCACATTAAAGCGTTGTTTCCCATGCAGTAGATAATATCCCTCAACAATAAGGTATTCAGTTAATATTCTAAAATAATAAGTGGAATTGAAAACCTGGTAAGAAAGTGAGTAAGTATTTGTGTATCAGAAATCAAACAAAAAACATGACACTTGATTACAGTCACTTGAAAGTCATAACATGTAATCAACAGATAGTGTACATGGTATCATATATATAACATGGGATGACGTACGATGTGTAGTTTAGCTGCTATTCCATGATCCATCTCTAAATTAAGAGTTATCAAGAGCTAGCTTTATTACGTTAGGAGGACAGTAAACACCACTAAGAGGCTTAAGTTGTTAGAGCATATCTACAACAAAAATCTTTTACATACGCTACCATTTATGTCAAAGGATAACATAAGAAAGAATCTAGTTGTATTTTGTTGGCCACATGAACACACATTTGGGGCTAATACTAATTTTTTTCTTGGTTGAATGTTTACATTCCCAACAATCTATAGATATCTACATTTCTCATTATTCTATATATTACTGGTGTAAGATATTCATGACAAGTTATTAATAGCTGGAAAATCTACATTGCATATTACTGAACATAACATATCTGGACGTAATACACACGGAATACGTTAAAGACATAGGTTTCTTGCATATATGAAACACAATCTAATAAGAGGCATAATCACCCTTTATGTTAGGTTATGTATATAGAAATTGGGATGTTTCAAGTTTTAAAGGAATTCAACATATCCATTCGATAAGATATACAAGACCTATAGAATATACAAGAACTACAGAACATGTCTAAACATAAAAAAATTAAAACTCCACAAATTCTGACATTAAATATTGTACTCGTACAGGTATGAAAACTAACAAAACTTGACAAAAATGTCATTATTCAATGTGCACCTTCTCTCTAATTAACTTCAGGCTAAGACACTAGATTGTCAATAAACACCAAATCCGTACCCAAACTAAGGCCACACCGAATTAATTTTATGGATGACATCCGCGCGCGCATTGATTTCGCCTGTTCTCAAAAAAAAAAAGATCACGTTCTCCGAGGCTCTGGCCTGGCTCTAAGCCTGTGTACTCCATGGTAGTTAGCGACAATACGGAGGTTTTAACTCTGGAGGATGGCACCCAGGCTACCGAAGCTCCACGAATCAAGAACTCAGTACATACAGTGCCGATTCATAAATTCGGAAAAAAAAAACAGCATGTGCCGGCTTGTCATATACCTCGCTAATTTCACAATGCCAGCTTTGTATTCCTGTGGTTAGTAGCATTTTTGTTTTGGGACGGATTTTTATTTTATTCGCCAGCGCATACTAGTTTAGGGGTCTTCAGAGGATGTCATCCATAAAATTAAGTCGGTATAGCCTAATACTAGAGGTTGAATGCTGGCAACAGCAGAACGACATTAGCCACGATGGTGTAGACGATAGTAAAGAACATGAGGAACCGGTCCAGCACCAGTCCCAGGGTCTTCCACTCATTCTCCCTGTTTCCAGTCGTCTTCCTGTCCTGAAAGTCTCCGATCAGGTACTTGACGGACCGTAAGATTTCTCCAAGATGCTGGCCGTACGCCTTGGAGCTCCGCTCGGTCTTGGTCTCCATGACGGCCTTGAGGAGGTCCTGTCCGGCCCGGGGGGAGTCCGGAATACGGCAGGTGACGTCGGCGTCGCTGTCGCAGGAGATCCGGTTTCCGGATTTTCCTGACGGAACCGGCCCTGTGCAACGTCGACAGGAACATCTTATACTCATAAACGAAACCACCTTAAAGTTTGTTTTTAAGAAGAGAAAACACGCACGTGCAGACTTGGTCTGGATGGCTTTTGGTCCACGGCAAATGTTTACTATCAAGATAATTCAATGTGTCATTTACACAGTTTCCCAATATGGCAACTGGATTATATAAAATTACATATCAATATTCTACCAAATTTAGAAATGAAGAGTATATATAACATTTCAGATATGGATGCATCTAAACAGCACAGAAACTACGATTTAGCATGTTTAACTCATCTAGAGCTTTCGACCAGTCAATCCGGTCTTCTTCAATAGCCTGGGTCAGTCTATTGAAGAAGATCAAATGTGATTGTTTAAAAGCTCCAAGTGAGAACATTTCGTTGTGTTGGAAGATTTTAACTTTAAACATGTAACTTCCAACACAGATGAACTTTCATGACCGACTATTTACCATAGTAGTGATGACACTCTGACGACCCTACAGGACAGTCTGGCTGAGACAGGTCACCCATGCCCAGGATCTTGGCTGTCCACTTCAGGAAGGTTTTGCGGATGAAGTTGGACATGGGTCTCCGCCCCGCGCCGTGGTAGTACACGTGTAGAGTCAGGATGTTCAGCAGAGCTGTCACGCCAAGGATGAAAATACTCGCCGCGTAGAACTCACCTGAAGTTACGGTGAAGACGAAAAGGCACAGATTAACTAGAGAAGTAACATTTGCAAAGCAAATGCATAATGTTTATCTTCGGACATGGTCTGCTCTGTTAATTCTTACTCAAACACATTCACATACATATACTACTAGTATATGGTGAAAGGAGCAGAGTAGACCATGGAATTGCAACATTATGTAACCCAACACCAGTCACCATGGTGACAGACGTCAACAAATCAGGTTAGAGGTCAGTGTTTGGGGAAGAAGAAGAGGAAGAAACTGAGCAAAAACAATATGTTTCCTTCGGTAAACGTAATTATTACAAAATGTTTTTAAATTATGATTTTCACAGTGTTCAATGATAAAAAAATTAAAGCAAGAATGGCTTTAGACATTTTAACTATCAATTTTCATATACATCGTTAAAGGGAGCAGTACACAAATTCGTGTTTACCTGGTAACTTCCAGGTTTAGCCAACCAGCATGGCTGACAATACTTACGTCATAATCACGTGTGTGAAAACACTCTTATACATGTAGGTACTAAAATTTATTGGAGGGGGGCATCACGAATGCAATCCACTATTTCTCCATGTGGCCCTTTCCCTACTCTATTAAATATCAACCTTCCATTCCTGTCAAACTGGCTCTGTTAAAGGACACGCAACATACAAACTGACACTATCTATCCACCCAAAACAATACTTCCGTTTCCAACCCAGAAGGAATGGGACTTTCACGCCAGTCCAGTCCAGTCAAACTATCAGCACAAGAACACTCTGGTGATCCCTGACTCCCACAACACCGTCAGCTTTTCTACCATCAACTGTTGAACTTTGGAACAATCTTTCGAATGCAATTGCTATGATAAGGGACGTCTGATTTAAATGTTAATTTTTTCCTAAACTCTGACAGCGTTCTGTCTAGGCAGTCCTGCTGCTATGCTGAGTGAGAGCTGACATAGATTAACAAAAGGACGTACCGATGAGTGGAATGGCCTCGGATGTTGGTGGCATAGACGCCGACACGATCTGCAGAAACACCACCAGGGCCAGCAGGATGGTCATACAGAACCCGATCCGTTCTCCGGAATCAGGAGGCAGGAAGAACACCAGGGGGTTAATGACCTCCAGGACGATGCCCGGCAGCAGGAGGTTGAAGAAGTAGAACATGGTCCTGCGGCGGAGGGATATGGTGACGTGGAGGTTGGGATACGGTTCTGGACAGCACGGGTAGTACACAACCTGGCGGAGGAAAAAAAAGTTACCATTGCGTTATCTGACTTCAATTGCTGGAATTCTAGGACCAGACTCTGCGGACAAAGCAACATGTAAGACACTATCGGCCTTTAAATGATTAGAAATAACACAGAATATACATGTACCAAGGGTTCTTCATTGTTCTAGCCTGGTTACCAAACCCGTTTTACTTTAATAATAAGTTGCCGAGACACTATTGTCCTCGCAAATTTTGGAGAGGGCAATAGACACTAGGCAGATAAAATAGATTTGGTAACCAGGCTTAAATTTCTATGAATATAAATGAAAGATTTATTGCAAATTCATGCCCGAGGGCTAATTGCATGAACAGAAGAAACATTTGGTATAAAAACAGATACTTAGTACACATAGAACTACTAACTACTAAGAAACTACTAGTAAAAACTACTGGGTTTGACTTCTTTTTTGAAGACAGAGGTAGACAGAGGTTCCCACTTTTTCTGTAATTTGTCGGTTTTCGGATGTTAAGAGGAGAGTAGTTTTCTTTTCATTTGTATATGTGTGAAAGTTTGGGTAGAATTTGGAGGCTACGTCAAAGAGTTCATTTCGTTCATTGCTATAGAGGGTACAATTTGATATAAAATGCGTTTCGTCTTCCACCGTGTTCAACGTACAATGTTTGCAATATAAATGGAAGATCAGAATACCTTTCTTTCCACAGGCATCCCCATCAGTTCAAACTCTCCGTTATCGGCGTAGCTTGACAAGTCCCCCGAGTTGCCCCTCGGGTGCAAGTCTACCTGGATACCTAAAACAAGACGAGATGTCAAGCATCCAAGTATGAACCGGGACGGAGGACGATACAGACTTTCAACAACCTTTGACCTATTGCGTTACACATCTGAAAGGCCACGTGTTCGAAACAAATGTGTCAGCTAAGCACGTCGGCAGAAGGTACTGCAGGTAACCCAACACCACAGTGTGTCTGCTACAGCACCAGTTACCATGGTGACAGACGTCTGGTCCAGGTAATTGACCTTATTTCTTTGAAGAAGAAGAAGAAACAAAGCAAACATAATGACCTGTGTGAGTCCAGGAGCCGAAGACCATGGTACAGTTCTGGTCGTCATAAGGGAAGAGTCTGATGTCGATCTTACAGGAGCTGGTGTAGGCGATAGGGGCCAACCATTTCACATCCCCGCTGGGGGACACGATGATGTTGGTCTTCGCGTGAAGCCCGCCGTCACTGCCCGCGTCAACACTAGACACAAGGTACAATTATTTTCAAGTAGCAAACACCATACATAAATACATCGCTTAAAGTTACAGCACCAGTAACCATGGTGACAGACGTCTAGTCCAGGTAATTGACCCTCTTTGTTTGACCTTAGGCCATGTTGATTTGATTACATGGATGACATCCGCGGCCGCGCGCGCATGAATTTTCGGCCGTTTCCAAAAAAAAAACCGTTTTCAACCATACTGTAAATCGTACAAAACAGTTGCAAAATGAGCAAAAATATACCATAAGTTACAAAAAAAATTAATAAAAACTATACCAATGTCGTAGAATGCCAAAATCAAACGAAAAAAGACGAAATTGTAAAGAAATGAACTTGAAGACTAGATTATTCGCCAAACCATATTCTGTGCCATTTGCTCAACCCTCATGACCACGTAGATTTCATAATGAAATAAAACTTTTTTTTTTTGCAAAACTTTTTTTTTATTCGCTCGCGCGCATCAGTTTTGGGGCTCCCGGAGGATGTCATCCATATATTCAAATCAACATGGCCTTATTTGTTTGAATAAGAAGAAGAAGAAGAAGAAGAAGAAACAGAGCAAACATAATGACCTGTGTGTGTCCAGCAGCCGAATGTTAATACACAGAGAACGCCTAAAAACTACTGATAACTCCTAAAAAATATATTCGCTGGAACATTCAACTAGGTAAGACAGTAGAGGAAAATGTTGCTAAACAACTACAATGCAGACACATCACAATGTTTCAATTGGTTAAAATACAATTATTGTCAAAGCACAAACGTCGTACACATACATGTACATTGTTCAAATTCTTCAACTTATTTGAGTGAAAATGTACTCGTTCAAACATACTAATAGTAAGGCAGAAGAGATTATGTTGCTAAAACAACTACAATGTAGTCATCCCAAAAGAGGTTTCAATTATAACAGACATACTTGTTATATAAGTATATATCTGGAATCCACAACTCGCTCGGTGAAAACTGCAGTTCGTTGACCCCGCCGTACTCTGACTCATTCCAGGAGAGAAATTCGTCCCTCCAGTACTAAATGCAGTCGAGAGATATAACATTACATCTTACAATAAAAATCCATTATCATAATGAAAATTAAAATGTTCTCCAGCTCAAAACAATTTAACTTGCTGAAATTTTCGAATCTCTTGGTCATCATCAGCTATGTGACAAGTGTTGTAGACACGTGTTTTTTTTCGCACGTGTGACGTCAGAACTGGGTCAAAGTTCGTCTGAAGTCGGTACCGCCCTCCATTCTCTTTGAGTTGGAGAACAGTTTAATTTTCACTATTTAATTTACCAATAATAAATTTATTTTCATGGCAGGAAAAATCCAATTTGAATGTTGAGAGGATGCATAATGCATATGGTATGCAGAATAATTCTATTTATCATCATAATATACTCACCACTCGGACCCATGTGAACGTCTGTAGTACTTGATTTTTCTCGTCCTGAGTGAATGATCAATAAATAGTGGATTATAGTCTGAAATAGACATGTATCGTTGATAGAATTATCTATTGAGGCATAACTGTATTAAACGCGTGTTAATGATGCAGTCGCATCTAGTGGTGCGTTCAAAGACTCTTCAACAATTTCGTTTGTGATAGTTTAGAATATTCTTTCCAAATTTTGATACTCGCCAACGATCATCAATTCATCAATTAGGAAAAATGGATGAAAAATTTGGAACCGTACCATGGAAGCACTTTGTATTGAGTATGTCTGTAAGCCAGCTTGAAAGTCATTTATCATGTGACAATTTACGGTGCGTAAATTTGGAAAAAGCCTCTACAATCACAGAACTCTATCCAGGCCCATCGCACACCCGTATGGACATTTCCATGCCGGATAGGCGCTAAGGTATTGGTGTAAACAATTCATCCGACAGTCTCAATACAGATATAGGAGTTATTAATGCCCGTAGCCAGGGGGGATTCGGAAGAACCCCCCCACACACACACACACACACGTACAAGGCTCAAAGGTCCACTTTTTGGTCCACTTTTTATGTAAAGGTCCACTTTTTGGTCCACTTTTTATGTAAAGGTCCAAGATTTTTCTTGTAAAGATAGACTGGAATCGTAGAAAAACTGCTCCCTTTGTCATTGAATAAAAATTTATCTCAGATTTTTTCTTGGAAATCCTCTCAAAAACGCCATTTTAGAAGGTTCATTTTTCAAAATTTTCCGGGGGAGCATACCCCCGAACCCCCTAGGCATACCCCCGGACCCCTTCGGCGCTCGAGGTCCCCTCAAGCAGTGGGAAGAACCCCCTAGATTCAAAACCCTGACTACGAACTACCTACATGTCCATAACATAGCAGCGACAAATACCATCCAAAGAACATACTACAAACAATCTACTGCTTTATGTATTTTGCATAAGATTAGCCTACACGGGAAACCAAAAAAACATGTCATGGAAGATTATTTGTTTTTAATTTCATAACACCAAGTTATCACTCCTTTGACATGGGTGTATAGATGAAGTATTTTCATAATGCACATATATCAATCAAGATTAAAACCCCCTCAAGATTAAATGCCATATTGTACTCTTAGCTATCCAAATGTTCTGCCCGCGATGACCTGAATGTCACTAAGATATTTGCTGGTCCCATACGTTGGACATTACTTGCTTCTTTGAGGGTACAACCATAATTTGTGAAAACAGTAGATTTCAATTTTTATTCTGGTTGGTTTTAGTGATGTGGCCATAAGATATAAATGATAATGTCTGTCTCTTCTGCATTTGATGTGGAACTGAAGTTCAAACATCATTTAAACATATATGTTTGCAGTTGTAACTTACCGTAAGTACTCAGTACAGGAAATGGTATTAATCTTAACCAGTTTTGCAACATAGGCTAGTTCGTACGTATAGAGGAAACATACGTACGTATAGTGGTTAAACCATTGAAAGAAGAAGTAAAACTATTGCACAACAATTGTACATGGTACAATATATGGCAACGACTATTGAACATAATACAAAAAGGAAAGGGTATTAAATGAAACTTAATATCCTAGGTACTAAAATATATCAAGTGCTAGTATAATATGCAATCAAGTAGGGCTGATAATGAGTTTCGGTATTTTTTCTCATAACAATACCTATTTTTGCATTGTGAGCGTTATTGCATTTGAATATGTAAATCTGTCTAGCTATAACATCGACTCTGTTGAAATCTCTTGTACTTGATTCGATGAATAGCATGCATTTGCCAACGTGAAAAAAATATTTCTATATTATTAAACGGTTTCTTACCAGATCAGAGATTTGCCGAAGCGCCACTTGGAAGGCCACCGTGACGTTGTGGTCCACGTTCTTCACCGGCCGTCGTGCCTTGTCGTAATTCTCCAGAAGGTCGTCTCGCAGTCGTGCAGAAGCGTCTGAACCAAGACATCCTTAAACAGAAGAAAAAATAACCCTCAAGAAGGCAGAGGAAGTCAAGTTTATTGCGCCACAATTGCATTGGATACAATGTATGGCAAATAACACTTAATAACTATAAAATATTACTACTAGTGTACTAATCTTACTTCAATACATGTATATATGTTATAATGGACTGTTACACTTCACATTGCTGTGACAAGGTTTCTCTTTTGTATAGCATTATGTACATATTGGCCTAGATAAACAGATACAGAGTCGGGGCATGATAACAGCATGTTGAAAATGTCTCTACTTGTTCCATGTAGTGTTAGTTTACTCTTACATGATATCATTAGTTTTTTTTTAATGTCGTGATCACGTCTTAGGCCACACCGGCTTAATTTTATGGATGACATCCTCTGAAGACCCCTAAACTAGTGCGCGCGGGCGAATTAAATAAAAATCCGGCCAAAAAATGCTACTAAACCACAGGAATACAAAGGTAAAGCTGGTAGTGTGAATTTGCGGCAGAACAGCGGCAGAACATAGCGACGTATACGACAAGCCGGCACATGCTGGCTTTTTGCGGATTTATGAATCGACACGGTACGTATGTACTGAGGTCTTGAGTCGTGGAGCTTTGGTAGCCTGGGTGCCATCCTCCAGAGTTACCACTGTCTCCGTACTGTCGCTATATAGCAAGCTACCATGGACTATCCAGGCCAGAGCCTCGGATGACGTGATCTTTTTTTTTTCTGAGGACGAAAAACAATGCTCGCGCGGATGTCATCCATAAAATTAAGTCGGTGTGGCCTTACATAAGAGGCGGACATTGACACTTATCTCTTATAAGCTTACGACAAGGTCACTTATCTTAAATGCGGATTTATGAAGTATTCATGACTCAATACCAAAGACATTTCACAAGACATCCATCCACATTAAGTTACAAATTGCTGTACTGAAGGAAAAAAAAAACATAACTCTATATATAGGCATACCTCAAAACACAAATACATCTAGAATAAAAGCAAGTACCATCCATGGTATTTAAAAATCTATGCATGTTTTTAATTGTATTTAGCTAATAACAGAAAATGCAATCCCAATGTATGGATGCTTGTAAGGGTCCACCTAAAATTATTTTGTGGTAGCACTGATACAAAGACATTGTTATCACTAATATCAGCTTTCCTTGTATTTTGTATTTTGTTTATGTGATGATGATGATGTTTATGTATATTTTCGGCTAAGTTTGTTTCATGTATTGTTTGCTTATATCTCACAATCCTCTGTAACAATTTTGTCACAAGTTTATTTCCTTTGATATATTTGAATTTAATGTTTTTCTCTGGGCTCCATTGCAAACTATGTCGTCGAAATTGAATGGGCCACCCAACCATTCGAAGATTAAATAATAAAAAATTAATAAATAGAAAAAATTACCTCTCCAAACGTAGCACGTGAAGATGACAGACAGTTGTAGCAATTTTGTCACAAGTTTACATGCTTTCATATATTTGATTTTAATGTCTTTAACTGGGCTCCATTGAAAACTATGTTGTCGAAATTGGGCCACCCAGCCATTCGAAGATTAAATAATGAAATAAATAGAAAAACGTACCTCTGCAAACGTAGCACGTGAAGATGACAGACAGTTGTAGCAGTAGGGACAGCGACATGGCTCTGCGCTGGTCACACATCCTACACTTGTGGTGACAGAGCCGTACTTAGCCGTAACGCACCGACATGTCCACCGCGGGCTACACATGGTAACAGCCGGGCTTAGTAAGCCTGAAATCCGAACCCTCTGAGTTCCCTCCTGCCCATCTTTGTCTAAGACGTAATCTTTACAAAGCTGACCCCATGGCTTAGGGCTATCTGACCAAAATCACTATGTGACGTGTTTAGAATTGCAACCCTCTTGACTCATAATCTTTCCCAACGTTTACTTTGGTAATTTCTCTTAGGCCACACCGACTTAATTTTATGGATGCCATCCTTTGAAGACACCCAAACTAGTGCCCGAGGGCGAATAAAAAAATTTCCGGCCAAAAGTAAAAATGCTACTAAACCACAGGAATACAAAGCTGGTATTGTGAAATTGCGGCAATAGATAGCGACGTATACGACAAACAGGTACATATGCTGGCTTTTTGCGAAATTATGAATCAGCATTGCACGTATGTACTGAGTTCTTGAGTCGTGGAGCTTTGGTAGCCTGGGTGCGATCCTCCATAGTTACCACCGGCTCTGTATTGTCGCTAACTACCATGGACTATCCAGGCCTAGAGCCAGGCCTAGAGCCAGGCCAGAGCCTCGGAGGACGTGATCCTTTTTTTTTTTTTTTTTGGAGAACAGGCGAAAATCAATGCGCGCGTGGATGTCATCCATAAAATTAAGTCGGTGTGGCCTAATTTCTCTTAATAGGAATTAAAATGGGGCAACGCTCGACATTCCGTTGAACGGTCAGAGTTTAAACGGTGGAAATAGAAAGGTTATCAGGATGTCGATCAAATGCTGTTGAAACATCTAGGTGAACAGTTGATAATTAAAGTGCGGTGACAGAATGGGGTCGAAATAGAGTAGACATGTTTGTAAGATTCCCTCTCACACAGACGCAATGTCGCATCCCTATATATATATCCCTCTTTTACAGATACTTTCACGGTCGATGTTCAGGAGAACTTGCACTTCTTGTTCCGCCGCTCAAAACCTTTCAGCGTGCCACTAGGTTCTCTTCCAGTTCTCATCAATACACCGTCAACATACCTGTCTTCAAGTCATTTTACAACAGCAGCTTCTTTCCCTGGACTGCAAAATTATGGAACTCTCTTCCAAACAGATGCTTTCCGTCCGACTACAATCCACAAAGTTTCAAAACAAAGGTCCACCGCCATCTCCTGACATAACTACATTATACTCACTTAAGTACCTCTAGCTCTTTGCCTAGAAGTGGCCAAAAATAATTGGCCTTGCATTGAGCGACACCATTAAAAAAAAAGAAAACTAAATGAGCACTCTCCGTAAATTTCTTTTAAGCATCACACCTATTCAATTTTCTTATTCTAGCAAAGTACGTACAAGATAGAGACCTAACAATTTTATTCATACCCCTTGTTCATGTACAAAACATGCAAAAAAAGTATTGGCAACCTCTACGTAAACATGAGATATGAGGATGAAATACATTTTTTCATCATATAGCATATACATATAGCATATTCATATAGCATAGCATATAGCATATTCATATAGCATGAATCATAATTCATAATGAAAAAGCGAGACAAATTTAAAGTCCTTGATAAAGCGATTTCCGTTGAATAAAATTAAAGAACATAGCATATTAGGATGGAAAGAAACAAAAAATAGATTTTGGACGTCCTGATAAAAAACTATCGAAAGAGAACTTGATTTCACAAGATATGGCGGGCATTTTTTTAAATCGTGAACGCTCATTCTTATTGTAATGTTCCTACCTGGCATTTCTTTTATTACTTGAATAATTATGATATAAATGCGTTAGGTTTTATTCGACATTAGGTCTTGTTCAACACGATTATTTTATTGTTTGTTACTCACTTTATGTAGTTTGCCATACATTGTACCATGTGCAATTGTCGTGCAATAAAGTTCTTCTTTCTTTCTTCTTTACTGCCAGCTTAAACTTTAAGTATAAATGTATTTCTTATGTGGTCACTTGTATTTAAATAGCCTGGACAGCTGGTTTACATACATATCAGTATGTTAATGCTTCCTGTTCCAACAATCGGGAATGATCTTGTAACGGATGTACTTTTAGCACCAATGGAATGCCAGTAATGACAGCGGTACGGTGGAACACTGAAATTTCCATTGCAGAAAACGAAAGCGACTAATTACCAAAAATGTCTGTATATTATGTCTCATCGAAGGACGGATTTAAGCACACTACTGGTGAATCATGTCACCTTGTTTTAAACTTAAGGCCCCACCGACTTAATTTTATGGATGACACCCGCACCCGCATTGATTTTCGCCTGTTCTACAAAAAAAAAAAAA